CATTTCCTAGCAATCACATCTTACAACAAGCTGGCAAGGGTTTATCAGTCAGGTTACTGAGGCAGCCAGCTCTATGCCTCACTGCACCTGCTGTGTCACCATGCCTGCTGTGTTGTGGCAGTCCCACAACTGTTTGCAAGAAAGGACTACTTGTGTCCTCAGAGGTACAAGAGTATGTCCAGACACAAATCTTACGGGTATTTGTATTGCTCAAACAGAATCGGATATTTAACATGGGGTAAGAGTTTGTGCCTACAGAAGTCGTAATGCAGAGAAGTTCCGAAAAATATAACTGAACTCCTGTATTTTCAGATTAAACTATACAGTTTACATCTGCGTAGTGGAGAACTTGACTGAGAGACAAAGAACAGCTGAAATAAGGAACAAATAAATCATGGTTTGGTTCTGAATCACTGTTCACACTTCTTGTCTTTATCTCACTGCAAACTACCCACTCTACAGAGACTCCAGAGAGCCTACCTGGAATTCACTACTCTGAACTCAAACCACAGAATCTTCATTACTGGAGATTTTTTTTTCCTTCCTTTCAAACAGAACATTTTAGATCATGTATTTGTATTTTGGTTGTTTTCAACTGCTCCAATCAAAGCTATATCCTCCACCAGAATAATTCACAAACTCATAACAGCTACTGATTAAAATACACTTACTATACAAAAGCTGTCATCTAACTATTGTCATTATCTCATCGACCTACCAACCATCAAACTACGTTCCTGTGACGGTCTGGGGGGCTGGTGAGTCACATGGATGCCCCAGTCCTCACCTCTCCACCATGCCTGCAGAAGTAGCATGCAGCAACTTAACAAAATGGGCCAGCCTGCCTGCCTGAACAGGAGCTTTCCTGATAAAAAGAAAGCAACTGAGCTGGCTTTAGGGTCATTTTACTTCAAAACCTGTCAAACTTTGATACTTTCTTTCAGAGACAGCTCTGCCTTAGTGCCTGTCTTTAAAGATGACTAATTAATGCCCTAGTAGTTGTGTACACTATGTTCTGTCCCAGCTCCTCTTCAGAGTTGACAGCAAAGAGGTTTCTTTCTTGTCTGATGAATATTATCTTTCTGACTGGTTGAAGATATCTGCTGAGTATTACAGTAAAAGGTGAAATATGCCAGAGCAAGCTTCTGAGCAATTTTCTTTAAAGCTCTGTAAATTAAGGAAACAAGGCTGATGCAGCTATGCTGTCCATTGGCATATGTATCCTCCTATGACAGTACTACAATAACTTCTGAACCACTGGTCAGCCTCAAATGAGGTCTGAAATAGGACAGTGGTTCCACATATTCCAAGGAAGCAACAGGGAGAGGTTCAAACCTGTGCCCTGACCACAGAGAATCACAGAATAGTTTGGGTTGGAAAGGACCTCAAAGCCCACCCAGTCCCTCCTTGTGCCATGGGCAGGGCTGCCACCCAGCAGCTCAGCTGCCCAGGGCTCCATCCAACCTGGCCTTGAGCACCTCCAGAGATGGAGCACCACAGCTTACATGGGCAGCTGTGCCAGCGCCTCACTAACCTCTGAGTAATAAATTTCTTCCTAAAGGCATGTAAAGATCAGAGATGGGTGCCAGTTCGTGAGGATGCTGAACTGGCTTCGATCAGCATGTGCACAGCTCAGAAAGTAAATGGGGCTTTATGCTTCCTTCACAGGGCTCATGAGTAGCCTGCAAGATGGGTGCACAAGGACAGCAAGTCTTTTCCTGGCATCAAAGACTTCAACATGGCCTGCAGAGCTGGAAACAAGCCGCAGCAGGACACTGATGCAACCACTCAAACGGCCCCATTACAGAGTCTTAATCCCCCTCTTGAATATCCCCTCTTTGAGGTGGCACAGGACAGCCATTTAGCCTCCTGAAATGATGACTGAAGTCACCAAAGCATCCCCTCCTTCAGAGGCAGCAATGATCAGTGTACACAAGGTCACATACCTATGAAAAGACTTAGTTCAGCATGTGCACTTTCCATTCACTTCTCAGACCATTAAATCGCTGTTTTCACGCTGTTCTTGTCTACATCATTCTAAAACCCAGGCTGACTGAAGGGCTTTAGGTTCAGTGAATAACAGAGCCTCAATTGCACACAAAAGGTCCGATGCAATTCCAGTGGCTCACAAGCAAACGCCTGAGGCTGGCACGATTCCAGAGGGTGGACAGTGCCCTCCACTTTTCTTCTGCTCCTCCTTCGGGACTCTGCCTGTAACACACCCGTTTCAAAGCAGCTCCTCTTTCGTCCAGCTCTGCAGTAAAACTGGGGTGCTTCCCAGAGCGCTTGTACCCAGCAAGGCCCACAACAGCCAGGCACGTCTACAATTTCAGCACCTCTCTTTATTGCCTCTCTTTGGAAGATGAATACCTGGCCAAAACATCACTATTCTTAAATACCCAAATGCTTTCATGTCTTCAATGAAAGTCTGAGTTTGTGCATAACAAAACTCTGGCAGTGAATGGAAAGCTGAGCGAGGAAGTTGTCTACCCTCTGCATTGTCAGAGCTGAAAGAGATAGGAGGTGGAAGACACAAACGATTTCTAATGGGTAGAAACAAACTGAATCTTTACAAGCTTTAATAATCATACACTTATTTCAGAATTAGACAGGAAATGAGATTTGTTCTGCAGGTAAATACATTCTGAAGATATATCCACTTGAAGCATGGTAGCTTGAACGCCTTTTCTTACAGAATCCCCCTTCCCCCAGCAATTACTCAGCAGATATCCCTTTCTGTTGCCAGATGCTCCGAGTACAAATTCTCCCTCCCATCTGCTGTCATACAGTGACATCGACAAACACAACTGGAAGCACTGCTTAAACTCCAAATCCACTCACTGATTTGTTTCCTTGGCAAAACCACACTGCTTCCTTACAACCTGAGCCACTGGGAAAAGCTGTGCATAGAAAAGGAAACTTCACATATGGAAGTGACAGTATTTTTTGCAAAGAAAATAATGGCAATAAGAATCATAGGCATAAAGAAAAACAAGTGAATGGGGTCATTACCCAACCTCCAGACTCTGTAATGACTTTAAACCAGTGTTGTTGAAATCTTGTTCCACAGAAGTCCTCGCTAATTGAGATGAGGCTATTGAATGAATTAATTCAGTGCAAAATAAAACGTGGCACAACCTGGCCCCAGGTTCTGCCACCTAGCTGAGACAAACTTCTTCAGCCCCAGACGAGAGCCTTAAGCATCAACAAGCCAACTCCTGCACCAGTGTTTTTCCCTTTCATGTAATTACACACTAGCCTCCAAGCAGCTCCATGTTCCTCCCTGTGCCACTTGTGCCTTGTGAATATGCACAGAGCTCAAACCCAAACCACGTTAATGATAACCTTGTTAAATATAAACCAGTCTGCAATTATACAAACTGCTAACACAAACAAAAAAAAAAAATCAGGAAGCTCTGATTGTGCATCAACAATGGTTTCTGAAAACTAAACAAAAACAACAACATGATGCCCAAGAGGGTACCAGAAGGTGGTTCTTTGTTCCTACACACAGAGGACTGCTCTGTCAAATGACACAAACTCACTTCCAAACCTGCTGCAAGGAGAGCAAACGGGTGGGAAGAGAGGCAGCAGCCATATACACGAACTACAGAAATCTGATTTTCCTGGCGGCTGCTCTGTGCCTTCACGGCTGTCTCTGGGCAGTCACTGCCATGCCAGGCTCCCGCCACCCACCCTTGCTTCCTGCAGGGCAGCACAGGCTGCGTGAGCACCTGCTTTGAGGCTGATGCCAGCCACGTGCATGTCTGTGATTTACCTTTGAGTAGCACTGAGCTCATCCAGGCATCGGGGTCTGTACAGCAGCATTTCATTGAAATGAAAAGGCTGGGCAAAGCCACTGCATGCATGCTGCCATCCTACCCCTTCAGCTATATGTATTAAACAGCAGAAAAAGACATGTTCCAAAACAGAAATAAATTTGTCAAACACAGGCCAAGGCCTGTCCCAGCCTGCACATGTGCCGTATCACAGCCACCAGCACAGCCATGGGGCTTTGGATCTCCGGTCTGCAGACAAGAGCAGTATTACCTCCCTGTGTTAATTCTGAAAAGCAGAGTCATGGAAGGAGAAACCCAGAGGGTGGCAAGGAGATGCACGGCAAAGTAACAAGAGGTTGAGGAAGAAATGATGCGGGTGCAACTAAGCATCACTCCAGGACCGGGAGCAGGATGCATGGGTGCAAGGGAAAGCGAGGAGGATGCTCCGGAGCACTCACTACAATAAACACTCAGAGAGAAGACAGGCTGTAACCCACTGGTGGGCTACGGGCTGGAAGGTAGGACTGACACTTGGGGGGGCAGCACCAGAAAGCAACCAGTAGACCCAGGTGGAGAGTGAGAAACAGGGAGCATAGCTGAAACAACCGCCTCCCGAACACCTGGGATTTCTGCGAGCCAGTTGGTTCTGAGAGCGATTTTTCGGCGGCGATCCATGCTTAATTACCCTTACGAGCCCTTGCAATAACAACATGTGACTCAAAGCCTACCTATGTGTCCGAGGGAGAAGCAAAGAGGGAGTGTGGCGAATGGGGAATGTGGGAGCGGCAGCCGGTGCGGGCTCCGAAAGCGGTCCCCTCTTCCCCTCCAGCCTCGATACCCGAGAGCGCTGCTGGAGAAGCGCAAGCAGCTCATTTTGCATCCGCAGAGCAAGCAGCCCATACGCATTTGCACATTTCTACACACGCTCGCAGCTTCTCAGCACAAAGTCTCCGCTTCTCGAGCGGATGGGATGAGCTCGCCTCGAGGCGAGCAGCCCCGCGGCAAGCGGCAGCCCACGGGCACACCTAGCGCGGGCGACCGAAGGGCGTCCCGGGAAGCCGGCGGCGCGGCCCGCCCCTCCGCCCCGACCCCCGGCCCGCCCGAGAAGCGCCGCGGCAGCGGGGAGCCCGCAGCCCGTCGCACGGCCCGCGGACGGGGCTCAGCACCTGCCCGGCCCCGCGCCCGCCCCTCCCCTCCGCCTCGCCCCCCGGCGCCGCTTACCGGGATCGCTGCAGCTCGAAGGCGGCGGCGGGGCCGGGCTGCCCCGGCTCGCAGCAGCCGGGGCCCTGGGGGCTGGCACGACCGAAGGGAGCGGGCAGCACTCCGGCCGTGAAGGAGTTGAGGCGGCCGCGGCTCCCCGCCGGCCCCGCGGCGCCCAGGAAGGCGGCGGCCGGCACCTGCACGGCGGCGAACGCGTCCTCCTCCTCGTCCTCCTCCTCCTCGCGAGGCCGGGGCGGGTCGGCGGGCGCGGCCGGGGGGCTGCCGAGCCGCGGCGGCGGGGCCTGGCGGGGCCTGGAGGCGGCGGCGGAGCCGTCGGCGCCCGGCGGCGGGGGCCGCCCGTCGAGGGAGATGCTGGTGAGGAAGGAGAGCGCGGCCTGCCTGCGCCGGGGGTCGCCGCGCAACGGCGGCGGCCCTTTCCTGGGGCACGACTCTGGCGGCGGCAGGGGCCCGGCGGCCGCGGGGCTGCCCGGACTGGCGGCGGCCGCCGCCATTGTCGGCCCCCTTCCCTCCCCGCTTTCCTCCCGCCGGCCGCCGCCTCTCTCTCTGCCGCCCTTCAGGCCGGCGGGCTAGCGAGGCGCGGGCGGGCGGCGGGACACGGGTGCCATCGGGGGGGCTGCCGCCCCGTCGGGCCACATGGATGGGAACGCGCGGGGCTGCCCTCCGCCCGGCCGTGCCGAGCCCCTGCCGCCTGCCCTGCCCCTATTTATGGGTGCAGCCGCGCGGCGCAGCGCCCCGTGCAACAACACGGCAATCACGTGTGGGAAACGGGGAGCTGGAGGAAAACAAAAGCCCGGCCAGCAACCCGGAGGAGGAGGAGGAGGAGGAGGAGGGAGGAGAAGGGTGGGTCTCCGCGAGCTCCCTCCTTTCAACCTCTCTCGGTGTGCTTTTTTTTTTTTTTTTTTTTTTTTTTTTTTTTCCTCCCCCCCCTCTTCCCTCCTCCTCCTCCTCCTCCTCTTCTTCTTCCCTTCCTGGATGCGTGGGGGCGGGCGGGAGCCGGGGGAGGTGGAGTCTGTGCCCGCGGTGCGCGGCACGTGGCCCGCCGGGCTGGCACCGCTACCGCTGCGGGTCCTGGGGCGGTCCGGAGCGCACGGCTCCCCCCTGCAGCGTCCCATAGGCTTCCCAGCCGCTCAGCCCCATCCCTAACCGCGCACTTTGGAGTGAACGCGCTGCATCCCGTCACCCTCTCATCCCCAGTCCCGCAAGGTGCGCCTTCCCCGCCATCCCAAATCAACGGCCAGCCGGCAGGGCCACCGCACCGCCGAGTTTCCCTGCTCCATCCCATCAGTGCTGTTGTCTTGTGATGGTAATTTCATCAACGGCTTATGTAAGGGTTGGATAACACAAACACCACAACATATGGTTCATGCGAGATAGCAACGTGCGCTCCATAAAGCATTACAATGACTTGCGATATTCCCATTACAGTCTGTGGATGATTTACAGCCTTTCCAAGCTGTCACAAATAGTGTAACGTCCCCTGTGATTCAGTCAAAAGTTTACTAATTTGATAAACAAAATGGATTATTTGGTTGCAGAGGGAAGTCTAATGTTATTACTGGAGGAAGCGATGGACTTGCTTCTGCATTCCTCTCAAAACTGATCATCTTTTGAGCTTTCACTGACTTTAGAATTGAGCTCTGTGACGGGTTCGTTTGTGAAGGTTTGGTCTGCAATGGCCCTTGGTGCCACCAAACCTTGCCTGTAAGGCTCCAGTGTCCCTGCAGCACTGCAGGTGCAGGAACACTGCAGCAGCCTGGTGCTGCATGGGCAATCTTTGCAATCCCAGCAGGCAGTGCTGAGCAAAGAATGGGAAATGTTGGGGGTAAAGAGAGTGTTTCCCAAATCCCATTTTCTTCCGGATGGACTTTGAGGTGGGCATTCCCAGTGCAGATTGAGGTGACACTTTCCTAACAGGTGGCACTGGTGCGCTCACCCTGCGGTACATCAGAGATAGATGGGTTGGGTGGGAGGTGGCAGGCCTGAGTGTAGGCTCCCTTCCCCAGGGCAGAGCCCAGCTGTTGTCACTCACCCATTGGGGAGATGCTCTGCACTCCTGTGGTCACATCATACCCTTTGAAATAACGCAAGAAAATGCAGACCTGCAGCCTTAATGCGCAGACTTTTTACCCCTTGCATGTCTGATGTGATGCAACCACTGTGTGTGCTTTGCTCTGGAGCCTAAAAGCTCGCTAGGGCAACTGAGTCTCAGAGCATATTTTCCAAAGGCAACCCCTCCCAGATGACAGGGAAATGAAAGAGGACCACCACATCAGTGCTGGGTGCAGGTCCAGAGGCTGCTCTAACTCGGGGGCAGGTTTGATGTGTGCAGAAAAATGCACTCCTTTCACTAAATTACTCTTGTGGGATAAATATTAAGAGTTATTTGGTGCTGGAGGCATGACCTCTGTTGTACAGCTCCTCCAAAGCTAGAGAAAAGCATCAGCCCACCCTGTGCACACTTGTGTCCAGGTGTGTTTTAGCACCTGATTTGACAGTGTGATGCCTGCAGTCAGGGCTGCTCATGGGAATGGTTGAGCTTATTGAACCTCCTTGCATCAAAATTAGAGGAGCTGGGAAAATCTGTTATGTATTTGGATTGCTATTTAGCTTTGAAAATATTTATTTTACTGTTTATTGTTATTTAAATTACCCAGCTTTTTCACCTCATGTGACATTTGCAGTGTGCATATCTGTGCCCAGCAGCCCCACTGCCTCTGCAGACCTCCACAAATGCCTCTGTGCTAACATAAACGAGCTGCCCTGTGGGTGCTGTGTATGTATGTGCTGTCTTACCCAACAGCATTATTGAAAGGGGGTTAAAACATCCCTTCCTTTGCACAAAATGATGAACCCATTTTGAGAAAGCACCATGCAACAGAAATATGACTTTCTCAGTCAAAAGTGGAGATATATTTGTTAATAAGCAGAGCACCAGAGTACAGAGATAATTGGCATGCTAGAAATACCGGGCTCTCTAAGCCTATTTATATGTTTAGTAGCAAATATAAATGGATATGTACAACCTAAGGTGAATGTTCTTTTCCAGTTCCTTGCATCCTTTTGATCTGTGCTTAGCAAGGCTTTAGGTGACTCTGTGTGCTACAGGAGTCCCATTTGCTGGAGGTTAAGTGGAAACGTTAAACAAATTGACTTTGCTGGTTGAAACTTTTTTTCTTTGATGGGGAGCAGTGGTGGACTAGAGGAAATAGCAGAGTTGAAAGGAAAACCAAAAATACATATGCTGGAAACCTGCTTCTGTGACTGTTTTTTAAATCATTTTCCTCTCCAATTTCTCTTCCAACCAACCAGCTCTACCCAAGTGCAAGCAAATGTTTTTATTTCAGAGGTCACGGGCTTATGTAAGTGGCTGGACAACAAGTGGTAACAGGAGTGGTAGAGCATGATAACTTTTTTACCCAGTGCACAAAGAGCTGGAAGAGAGACTCATCAGCTGTGGGTATTTGGAGATAGTGAGGAACTTGGGGTGACACAGGTAAGTGCAGATGCTGGGTTTAAAGACATCACGGAGGGTGGAGGGTGTTCGAACAAAAAGTGAAAGCGCAGCAATTTGCCACTGAGAAATGAGCCTGCAAAAATGGTGCCTCTGCTTTCATAAGAAAGTGAACCCAAGTGGGGATGCCTTATGCTGTTGTGGTTTTAACATCTGCTGTCTTGGCTTTAATATAGTCAGTGCTAAGTCCTGTTGCAATGCAAGGGTGAAGAACAAGTGTGGAAGGCCGCAGAAGCGGAAGCTGTTCTCCTGGATGGCTTGCCTCCTCAAACTGGAAAAATTTCACTTTGTAGAGTTGAAAACTTTGTCTGGAGCTTTAGTCAGAGACAGGATTTGTATTGAGTTGAGAGTTAACTCTGTGAGACTAACTAGTCCTGACCACCAACGTGGCCAGGGCAGTGCTCAAGTGTCCTCAGTTTACTGTTTGTGTGCTTTAGTGATAAAAACAGGCTTCTCATGGTCACTGACACTTGTTAGAGCTGTGGAGTGGAGGCAGCTAGTGGAAGGAAAAGTAAATGTGATTCTCCCTTGTAGTTTTGACAGCACTGTTTTCTACCTGTCAGGATCAGCCTAGTAATGCTGTTACACAAAATTCAGCAAAGTGGGCATCTGGAGGCAGGACTTTGTTGCTTCTGTAGTTGACAACAGGAACAATTGCCTCCAGTGGTCATGGACCTCACCGCCAGGTCCTGGCAGATTTTCTGTAATCTCTGAGCACACTTGCTGTGCAAGACTTTGGAGAAACAGCAAATATGCAATCTTACAAATGTTTTTTTTCTTCTCTTCCCAAAGTCTCTTTGTGGAATAGAATTGCATTTCAGAAGAGGAAATAGTCGTAGCCTTGAAGGAAGACTTGGAATGTGAATTTAATAATCCTTCTGCTTAAAAGGAGGTTTTAGCAGAAATAAAGTAGAGAGAATTTAAATGCATTTCACTGAAAGCCATAGTCAGGAATGGAAATTGGATAAGGACAGTACAAATTCCTTATGAAATACTAATACTGCATCTGGATAGTAAAGGCCTGTTCCAGTGCCAGACCCCAACCTTCGGTCTGTTGTAAATTTAGCCTGATTCTCAGAAATGCTAAGTACTTGCTTCCCATTGGAAATTTTTCAGGAGCCTGAGTGTTTTATTTCTGAGGGCCGCCTTTACCAATTGAGCATAAAAGCTTGACGCTAACCTGCTTGTCATCTTTGAAAAACAGATTTCCTGGAAGTGCATACAGCCACAGTTGTCTCTTATGAACTTTATAACTTTATTTTCTTGCCTTGTTCTAAGGTATGTGCCAACAGTAGCCAGTGAACGTAAAACCAAATTCTTGCATGGTGATTATATAGTGGGAGAGATTTGTGATTGCCTAACATTACGGTTGGAACAGCATGAGCAAGATCCTGTGTGTAGCTGGCAGGATGAGCAGAAGCAGATAGCCACAGCAAAGGTGAAACATTGCCTGCACAGATCAGCTGACATGCAGATCACAAAGGCACAGAACCTCATTATTTAAGATGTCAGAGGTGTGGCACATGTGGTGTTGATGTGCTTGTTGTACTGCCTTGAACGGTTCCTGCGATCACCAGAAGGCAAGCAGTGGGTGGCAGGGCCAATTGGGTAGATATTTGTCTCTTAAAGAAATTAGGCCACTCTAATTAAGCGGTGAGACCTCTAATCCATATCATTCCTCTGACTCATAGTACCTTTAGGTGAGGCTGGTGGCAAGAGCTTTTTATTAAGATGACTTAACGTTTTCCAATGTAAGACCATGGTGTTTTCTTTGTTAGACCCTCTTTCGGCCTAACATTTTTTCAGGAAACTTTGGTCAAAGTCATTATGGCAGCTCGAATAGTAGGAACTAAAAAAACACGTTGCTTCTCCCATGTTAGAAATTCCTCTGACCCTTCCTTTGAAATACCCAAGCATGCCTGCACTGAAACAAAAATTTAGGAGGTGGGCTTCTGTGTCTGAAGTGGGGCTGGGAAAGGAGGAAGGAATGCTCTTCCTATCAAAACGCACCCACCTCTGTCCTGTTTTTAAGCCTTTGAATCATGTAACGTGCCCATGGTTCTAGCTAGAGACTTCTTACTGCTTAACTGCTAAAGTTGCCAGAGGTTATGCCTTCCTTGAGCAAGTTTCAGCCTTCCAAAGTAGCTGAGAGCATCCGGACCCCAGGCCTACAAGGGCTACTCCCAGCTGCTCTGGGCTGCGGTGGAGGCAGCTGCTGAAATGCAGGTTCAGGACATGCAAGCGGTATGGAGGAGCGAACCATATGTTTGGGTTCGCACACAGAGGGAAGGAGCTGCATCAGAAAGAAACACCATCCTCCCTTCTGATGAATGCATGGCAAGGGGGCTGAAGAGCTGCACACTCAGCCTGAATTTTCCTTCCTCACTTCTTGGATGCTTGAATTTTTA